CGGACCACCGTAACCTGGAGTACATCCGGGCAGCGAGGAGGCAGAATCCTCGCCAGGCCAGGTGGGCCCTATTCTTCACCCGGTTTGATTTCACACTATCATACATCCCGGGTACGAAGAACGTGAAGGCAGACGCATTGTCACAGCTGTATGACACAGAGGAGAGGCCCAGAGACAACACCCCCATATTCCCGGCCTCCTGCATTGTGGCGCCGGTAGTATGGGCGATGGACGTGCCTGCTCTTATCCGTGATCGTCTGATCTACTTGGCACACACGTCACCCTCCTCTGGTCACCCAGGTATCAGTCGTACAGTGCGCTGCCTGACCGGAAAGTACTGGTGGCCTACTTTGGCTAAGGACGTGAGGTTGTATGTCTCCTCCTGCTTGGTGTGCACCCAGAGTAAGGCACCTAGGCACCTCCCTGCGGGTAAGTTACAGCCTTTACCAGTTCCACAACGACCATGATCTCACCTGAGTGTTGATTTCCTGACTGATCTTCCCGTCTCCCAAGATAACACCACCATCCTGGTTGTTGTGGACCGCTTTTCCAAGGCCTGCCGCCTCCCTCCTCTGCCCGGTCTCCCCACGGCCCTACAAACTGCGGAGGCCCTGTTTACGCACGTCTTCCGGGCACTACGGGGTACCAGAGGATATAGTGTCTGAACGAGGTCCCCAGTTCACATCCAAGGTCTGGAAGGCGTTCATGGAACGCCTGGGGGTCTCGGTCAGCCTGACCTCTGGTTTCCACCCCAAGTCTAATGGGCAGGTGGAACGGGTAAATCAGGATGTGGGTAGGTTCCTGCGGTCCTACTGCCAGGACCGGCCAGGGGAGTGGTCTGTGTTCTTGCCATGGACCGAAAATGCCCAGAACTCTCTCCGTCACTCCTCCACTAACCTAATGCCATTCCAATGTGTTTTAGGTTGCCAACCAGTTCTGGCACCGTGGCACCAGAGCCAGACCGAGGCTCCTGCGGTGGATGACTGGTTTCGGCGCGCGGAGGAGACGTGGGATGCTGCCCACGTCCACCTCCAATGCGCCATGCGTCGTCAGAAGGCCAACTCTGACTGCCACCGCAGTGAGGCCCCGGTCTTCGTACCGGGTGATCGGGTCTGGCTCTCGACCCGGAATCTGCCCCTCCACCTGCCCTGTCGGAAGATGAGCCCGCGGTTTGTGGGGCTTTTCAAAGTCCTGAGGAGAATCAACGAGGTTACCTATAGGTTATTACTCCCCCTGATTACCGTATTAACCCCTCGTTTCATGTGTCTCTCCTCAGGCCGGTGGTGGCTGGTCTGCTCCAGGATTCTGAGGTGCAGGAGGTCCCTCCGCCTTCTCTGGACATCGAGGGGGCCCCGGCGTACTCCATCCGTTCCATCCTGGATTCGAGGCGTCAGGTGGGGGGCCTTCAGTACCTCATGGAGTGGTAGGGGTACGGAACGGTGCTTGGTCCCGGTGAGGGATATCCTCGATCCCTCCCTGTTGCGGTATTTCCACCGTCGCCATCCAGCTCGCCCTGCTCCGCCTCCTCCTGGCCGTCCCCGAGGCCGAGGTCGGCACACTGCTGGAGCTGCGCTTCAAGGGGGGGGGGTGCTGTCACGACTTCCTCCGAAGCTGCCTCCCCTCCTTGTTCGGGCAGGCTTCGGCGTTCGTCGTCACCGGCTTTCTAGCCACTGCCGCTCCATATCTCATCATTCCATTTGTCTTGTCTTGGCAATTACACAAACCTGGTTCATATTCCCCTCATTAGTACATGTATAAGTGTTCCCTCTGCCCCCTTGTCCTTGTGGGTGATTGTTTCATGTGAGATGAGTGTAGCTCGGTCGAGTTACCTGTACGTTGTATTGCGGGGGGATATTTTCCCTGTGTGCCTGTATTTGTTCCAAAAACAGGTTTTTGCTAATTTACTGTATATGGAAAATAAATCTTAAATATGACTTTTACATAAGTATTCAGACCCTTTACTCAGTACTTTGTTGAAGCACCATTGGCAGCGATTACAGCCTCGAGTCTTCTTGGGTATGATGCTACATGCTTGGCACACCTGTATTTGGGGAGTTTCTCTACCCTCTAAAATTGACTGAACATCAAATTTCCCTAATTTCTATCCCATGTGTGATCAAAGGTGTGATCATTGAAGACATCTTTCACAATGTAATCAAATAAAATAAATGAAAGAAACATAATGTTTAGCAGGCACTAGTTTGCATCAAGCAAGTCTTAAGCATTTGGCTATAGATCGCAGTAAATATCCAAATTGTTCATGTACCTGGGGGAAAACCTTTTGGCATGGCGAATCCAAGCCTGACATACTGTAGGTCTGTATTGAAATCAGTTCATGCCTCATCCATGGCCTGGAGGAGGGTGGTACGCTCATGGGGACGGCATTCATACATCTTCCATCTGTGTTGTAATTGTTTATTGTATTTGACAGTATTGTATTATGTGTGGACTGTTGTCTCTTTGGATAAAAGTGTCTGCTATGTAAATGTCATATATTACGGTATTACAGTACTGTATTGGCCACTGCAATTTTAGTAAAGCAGACGATTTGTTACATACAGTACGTCTCTGATCTTGTCAATATCAGATTTATTTTTTATTTACTGTGAAGTAAAATCATAATAGTCATCATCATCGTAATACATTTGAGTATGTATATAAACTTAGCAAAAAAAGAAACATCCTTTTTTCAGGACCCTGTCTTTCAAAGATAATTAGTAAAAATCCAAATAACTTCACAGATCTTAATTGTAAAGGGTTAAACACTGTTTCCCATGCTTGTTCAAAGAACCATAAACAATTAATGAACATGCACCTGTGGAACGGTTGTTAAGACACTAACAGCTTACAGAAGGTAGGCAATTAAGGTCACAGTTATGAAAACTTAGGACATCTCACAGCAAGAACTGGCAAATCTGATGCTGTCCATGAGGAGATGCATTGCAGTACTTAATGCAGCTGGTGGCCACACCAGATAGTGACTGTTACTTTTGATTTTGCCCCCCCTTTGTTCAGGGACACATTATTCAATTTCTGTTAGTCACATGTGTCACGACTTCCTCCGAAGCTGCCTCCTCTCCTTGTTCGGGCAGGCTTCGGCGTTCGTTGTCACCGGCCTTCTAGCCACTGCCGCTCCTCATCTCATCATTCCATTTGTTTTGTCTTGTTTATTACACACACCTGGTTCATGTCCCCTCATCAGTACCTGTATAAGTGTTCCCTCTGCCCCTTGTCTTTGTGTGTGATTGTTTATTGTGGAGGTTAGTTTAGCTCGGTGGAATATTTCACCCGTGTGCCTTGTTGTTTCCCAGTGCGCCTGATTTACGCACTGGAGTGTTTGACGCATTGCTGCGGACCTCTGTTTTCGGAATAAACCCTTTTATTCTGTGATTTACCCTCCTGCGCCTGAATCACTCACCACAACATGTCTGTGGAACTTGTTCAGTTTATGTCTGTTGTTGAATCTTGTTATGTTCATACAAATATTTTCACATGTTAAGTTTGCTGAAAATAAACGCAGTTGACAGTGAGAGGACGTTTCTTTTTTTGCTGAGTTTATACATAATACTTTTTGTTTCTGCTTTACAGACATACATTTCATTATGTAGTTCTCAAAATCTGCAGTAGACAAATCAGTTTACATGTCAAATCTATAGGTTTACCAAACGGTTAAGTGATTATCAATTAAGAGCAGTCGGATTAAGTAATAGTAAGATGTATTTTAACAAATTAGAAAACAATCATATCAAAAGTAATGTGAGCATTGCATTGTGAAAAGCAATGACTTTATATGAACATGTATTGCAATGTGAAAGATGTATTTCTAGATTAAACTAATTAAGTTTGGTGAAAAAGTTACTGTATGATTTTGTGTGTTGTACTTAGTCAATTGAACATGTGCTTTGAGTTTTGAAACAACTGCCTTTTTGATTATCTGTTTTGAGTGAAAATGTACCACATACTTGTGAAAATTGCACCAAGGCTATAAAAAAACTGTAATCAAACTGAAATACTTGAATTCATCAATCCCAGTGTTGCTTCATTTAAGAAAAGTATGCTCTTCTTCAATACCATTCCTATCTCCTATGACATATATTCAGTGCAAATAGTAAGTAGGGAGGCCTACTATTGGTTATGAGAAGAAAAAAAAGAAATGTAACCCGTGTGTTTATTTTGTACAGTTAAAATGTTGTTGAGAAATAAGATGAGTCCCTCACTCTAAACATCAAATAAAACCCATGTATACAGTACATTATGAATGAGCCACAGATGGCGTGTCGAGGGAGGGAGGTGACAAAACCCATAGAACAGCCCTATAACATGACGAACAACATAAAAACGAGTCTGTTCGAAACGTACAGGAAACTCGAGAGAGCAGCAACTGACAAGCGTTCACATGACTTGTGTAGCCTAACGTGGATATTTCTGTGATAGCGCACCAGTCCAAAGACACAGGTAGGCTTTCACAAACGATAACGTTTTATAAACTTTTTCATAGTCACTAACCAGAACGATTTGATCTAGCTCCGCTACAGAAATTAAGGTAGGCGAAATTTATGCTGCTGTAAAATGAGATTGACAAGAAATGTCATGTGGTAGGCTTAACGTTACTTGACAGACGGTCACTAGTCGACGAGCATCAGTAATATATGTTCCTTATTGGGCGCAGAATAAGATCGATCTATATTATTAATTACTCCGAATATATTGTATTATTGGATAACGACAGACATAAACAGCTTAATAATACTTAATATATATATATATTATATATTATATGTATGTATATGCAGTGTGATACGTCATTGAAACGCGATATGCGTCACATTTTTAAAATAGGTAGGCCTAGAGTATGCTCTTTTTGAATAGTCTACTTTATCATAAACTATTATATTACTGTACCTGGACAAAAACTCTACAAGCACTGATCCTTCAGTCACTCTCACAGATGTGTAATTGATTTGGCTATTGTTATTTGCTTTGGGCTGTTGGAATTGTTCCACAGCATGAGTCAATGGAAACAAATTCAACAGCTCGAGATCAAATACCTGGAGCAGGTGGACTACCTTTATGATGACAACTTCCCTATGGACATACGGCAGGTGCTCTCCAACTGGATTGAGAGCCAGGACTGGTGAGTGTGTGTGTGTGTGTGTGTGTGTGTGTGTGTGTGTGAAAGAGAGTGTGTCTTTGTCTGTGTGTGTCTGTGTGTGTCTATCTGTATGTGTGCATGTCTGTGTGTATGTGTGTGTATGTATGTGTGTGTCTGTGTGTGTCTGTCTGTATGCATGTCTGTGTGTGTGTGTATCTGTATGTGTGTTGGTGCGTGTGTGTTACTGTACAGTAATAATAATAGATATCAAGTTGGGTTTCCAGTGAGCATGTTCAAGAACTAAAACACAGCATGTAGGGGCCCCGTGTAGCTCAGTTGGTAGAGCATGGTGCTTGCGACGCCAGGGTTGTGGGTTCAATTCCCACGGGGGGCCAGTATGAAAATGTATGCACTCACTAACTGTAACTCGCTCTGGATAAGAGCGTCTGCAAAATGACTAAAATGTAAATGTGGCTACCATAACTGGTAGCACTTTACTTGAAGGGGCTATACATAAGGCATTCATAACACCTTTATGAGACCAGCCATGACACCTTAATGAATGTTGAAGTGTTGTGCTGCATTAATTCATTATGGTAATCCAGCTCTGACTGACATGTAGCCTATTCATGTATTGGTTCGTTCCATTAAATGAGTCCCTTTGATATTTTAAATATAAATTGTGCACCAATATTAGATTTTAAATGCCTGTTATTATAAATTAATTGCCCTTTAATATAGACCACATGGACAATTCAATTTATCTGATTTTTAATTTGAATAAAAATGTATTATACATTTTGACATGTCCCTCTCTGTACTCTCTGTGACTTCTCTGAAGATTTTAACCCAGTTAACCATTAAATGTTTTCACCATCATTGTAAAGCCCTTTTTATTTTGTTGCTTTGATGGAAGATTATTATTTATTACATGTGATTAGGGATTAATTTTAAGGTAAAAAAATAAAAAAAATAAAAAATAAAAGAGTTTTGGTGAAACGATTCCTTAAAAAAAAAATGTTTTTCAAAATAAACATTGAACATCTAATAGTCAAATCATAGTGTTAAGGCAGGTGAGCTGGTTCTACTCTCTTTGGGCATTTTCTGGTGTTTTGTGGTGGAAAACTGAGTGGGTCGAGCATAACACGACATAGATAGATAGCTTTTTTGTGAAGCTTGCATGTAGCTACCCTTTTCCTGCAGTCGAATTACCAAAGCACCCTCTAGTGGCCTCATGGGTGGAATGTTATTAACATTTTTCATAATTTCATAATTAATAAACATTTATTATTTCTACTGCCGAAAAAGTGTAATATTGGGATGCAAACTCAAAATGTAATACATTTTATCTCTATGTCTGACATGGTACAGGTGTTTTCTTTTTTATAAGCTATAACCATGTGTGTTAGGTGTATACTTTTGTTTCAAAGTAGATTTGTTTAAGACTACCAAGAAACACTATGTGTGTCCCTGATTTAGCCAACTGCAGAAATTAATTTCCCCTCCCTGTTACACACAACAAGCTTCCATTCCCCCTGTCACAAGAGGATTTATGGCGGATTTAAGATGAAATCGTCAACCCTGTTACGGTCAACCCTATTACTTTATTTGGCACTTAATAGGCACTTAGTATAGTCTTTTTCGCCACCAACTTACACTAGCCAAAAGGGACTCATTTCGTGGAACCACCCTATTGCACTTGTACAAAACAGCAAAATAAGCATTTGATGATATGACATGCTGAAAAATATGAATGGGTGATTCACCTTTTCCCTTGTACATTATAACATGATATGTACAGTATGTTCTACATGTTCTTATTAATAACTTTTTGATTGAGCACTGAAAACTGTTAAATTAGATACAAAGCTAAGACAAAGTGTGTGTGTTTTTTCCAGGGATACTGCCGCAAACCATGAGTCCATGGCGACAGTTCTCCTCAGCAATCTCCTGTCTCAGCTGGACAGGCAGTGTTCTCAGGAACAAAACTTCCTACAAAGACACAACCTGAAGATCATCAACCAGCAGTTACAGGTGCCACAATAACCTCCCTTACAATATCATACACCTAACCTGGTTAAAACCAGAATGAACTCTGCGCTAAATCAGTTTGCCAGGCAACCATATACCCTGCGTATCCAACATTGATAACATTAAACAGTCTCTCCTTGTCATTGATGCATTTAAGCATTGAGGTGATTTAGTACAACCAACCCACAACTTCCCGTAAATGGGGAGTGGCACTGTGTAGTATGTTGTGACAGTGTGTATGTGTGTGTGTGCGTATGTGTCACGCCCTGGCTCTGGGGACTATGTTATGTTGAGCCAGGGTGTGTAATTCTATGTTTGATTTTCTATGTTGGGCTGAGTGACTCCCAATCAGAGGCAACGAGTGTCCGCTGGGTGTCTCTGATTGGGAGCCATATTTAACTGTCTGTCTTTCACTTTGTGTTTGTGGTTTCTTGTTCATTTCGGTTTGTGTTAAACTGTAGACGTCACGTTATCGTTTATTGTTTTGATCGTGTGATCAGTAATAAAAGGATATGTTCACCTTCAACGCTGCGCCTTGGTCCTCATCTCTAACCAACGAGCGTGACAGAAGAAACCACCATAACAGGACCAAGCAGTATGAAGAAGAGAGAGGATGGACTTGGGAGCAGTTGAGTAGGAGTCTCGACTGGGCCAAGCCAAGAGAAGAGGAGAGAGGTTGGAGTTTGGAGCAGTGGGGTGAGAGTCTGGCGAGAATGATGGAGGCCTGGCCCACGGGGAGGAGAGACCCCCAGAAATTTTTTAGGGGGGGGCTCACGACGTCGGGGCAGCAGGAGGCCGCTATGGAGCGGTCCAGCGGGGTTGCAGAGGAGGCCGCCAGGTTACGGGGGCCACTGGTAGAAGAGGGGATGGAGGGTGTAGAGGCACGGCGAGAGGTACTGGCGTGTGTTGCCAGTCCGGTCCGGCCCGTTCCAGATCCCGGTGTAGAGCCAGTGGTGTGTGTCCCCAGTACGGTCCGGTCTATTCCTGCTCCCCGCACCAAACCTACGGTGTGCGTCGACAGCCCAGCCCGGCCCGTTCCTGCGCTCCGCACCAAGTCTGTGGTGCGCGTCGCCAGCCCAGTCCGGCCCATCCAAGCTTCCCGCACCAAGCCAGTGGTGTGCGTCGTCAGTCCGGCACGGCCCGTGCCTGCTCTCCGCACCAAGTCTATGGTGCGTTTCGTCAGCCCTGTCCGGCCCGTTCCTGCTCTCCGCACCAAGTCTGTGGTGCGCGTCGCCAGCCCAGTCCGGCCCATCCAAGCTTCCCGCACCAAGCCAGTGGTGTGCGTCGTCAGTCCGGCACGGCCCGTGCCTGCTCTCCGCACCAAGTCAATGGTGCGTTTCGTCAGCCCTGTCCGGCCCGTTCCTGCTCTCCGCACCAAGTCTGTGGTGCGCGTCGCCAGCCCGGTCCGGCCCGTCCAAGCTCCCCGCACCGGGTCAGTGGTGCGCGTCGTCAGCCCGGTCCGGCTCATTCCTGCTCCCCGCACCAAGTCAGGGGTGCGCTTCGTCAGCCCGGTCCGGCCTGTTCCTCCTCCACGCATCAAGCCAGGGGTGTGCGTCGTCAGTCCAGCACAACCCGTGCCTGGGTCATGTCCGGAGCCGGATCCGCCGCCGAGGCGGAGTGCCCACCCGGTCCCTCCCCTGTTGTGGTTGTTTGGCGTGGCCGGAGTCCGCGCCTTTGGGGGGGGGTACTGTCACGCCCTGGCTCTGGGGACTATGTTATGTTGAGCCAGGGTGTGTAATTCTATGTTTGATTTTCTATGTTGGGCTGAGTGACTCCCAATCAGAGGCAACGAGTGTCCGCTGGGTGTCTCTGATTGGGAGCCATATTTAACTGTCTGTCTTTCACTTTGTGTTTGTGGTTTCTTGTTCATTTCGGTTTGTGTTAAACTGTAGACGTCACGTTATCGTTTATTGTTTTGATCGTGTGATCAGTAATAAAAGGATATGTTCACCTTCAACGCTGCGCCTTGGTCCTCATCTCTAACCAACGAGCGTGACAGTATGTGTTCTGTGTGGAAAAGGAAACGAAAGACAAGATCTGTTCATTTGTTTTTTTTTGTCACCTTTAGGGATTGGCTTATGGGTTTGTCGGCGTTCCTCAAACTGAGCATCCTTTCACTTGTAATAAGTGTTGTATGTCATTTTTTTCACAGACAATTTCACCTCTTACCCTATTCAGGGGAATCAAAATTATATGATGCTCTCTGAGGTCTCAGGACATTGACTGGCAGTATATTTATTAGACTCTCTGAGAATTGTACCTTAAAACACATTAACAGGAACAGGAAATAGCTGTTTGAGGCTGATGACTGGGGCCGGCTAGGCCATATTTCTGTATAACACAACTGATGTAGGAAAGACACATATCTAATCGGAACCTTGTGGTTTCCAGAATCTCCCTTTTGAGTGTATGTGACTGTGTGTGTGTGTGTGTGTGTGTGTGTGTGTGTGTGTGTGTGTGTGTGTGTTTGTGTGTGCAGATGGTGTGATGTTTCTCAGAGGAAGTAGTAGCTCAAAACAAGAGGGGAACATCAAGAGGTTTGTTTGGGGTGGCGCTTGGAGATGTGCGTTTTGTTGTTGTTTAGGTGTGCTGTCTATTATGCACAGAGGACAGATGGAAAGTGTCTCTTTCCATGCAATCATTTGTGCTGAGTCTACCTTGAAGGTATACAAGCATTGTTTAAGGTCCATTTTTTTGAACTCAGTCAATTTAGGGAATTCAATGGAAATGCATTTCATGAATTGAATAAACCCTCCTCCAGTGGTTCATACCTGAATTGCATTTTGTTGTGAGGGATCTGACCCTAAACTGACCCTAAAAATATGGCACTAAATGAAGAAAATGTTCAACCCACTATGCGAATACATTAGTACTTAGTACTGGAAATAAAGATTGCAGTGCTTATGTCTCATCTAATGCTAGGAAAGGCTGAGTGGTTGGGGATTTCTCAGTCCGAGGGAGGATCTGAATACAGTGGACCAAATGACGCTGCTGAATGCTGCTGAACTGACGCTGTTTGTTTGTGATGTAGTCGTCATTGTGATGGTGTTAAAGGGTATCGCGTAGGTTTTCAAGATTGAATCACCCTTCTTCTGTCTTTGGTCGCACACTCAAATCAGTAGTCACAGACAAACACTGAAAGAGAAATCAGGTTTCACATGTTCACATCAGAACTTTCCCTTGTGTCACAGAGGCTTAGACAGAATCTGTGGCATTTCGTCAAAAACAGACAAATATGTCAAGATGCACGTGGTGTTTGAGACACATGTTTTGCACAGAACTGGGTTCAGATCCCAGAGACAGACAAAACGCTAACTAAAGGGACAAATTATGGGTTCAGAGGGCAAGTCCATCCATGGTTGTATTCCTTAGGGATCATCGTAGCAAACAAGGACTTCTTATTGGGGTTCGTGTAGTACCACACCGTTTCACTCAGTTTTCTTCATTTTTTTTGCCTAATAAACATGTTCCATGTCTGTAGGCCTTTTTACACTGAATGTCTCCTTGTTTGGACTGTCATAGTAAATTACTTTTGGTTTTGTTTTCATACTGAGTCTGTACCTGGTTCAGCCGCATTCTTTACTATGGAATGATTTTTTATTTTATTTATTTTTTTATTTCACCTTTATTTAACCAGGTAAGCCAGTTGAGAACAGGTTCTCATTTACAACTGCGACCTGGCCAAGATAAAGCAAAGTAGTGCAATAAAAACAACACAGAGTTACATATGGGGTAAAAAAAAAACATAAAGTCAGAAATACAACAGAAAATATATATACAGTGTGTGCAAATGTAGCAAGTTATGGAGGTAAGGCAATAAATAGGCTATAGTGCAGAATAATTACAATAGTATTAACACTGGAATGCTAGATGTGCAAGAGATTATGTGCAAATAGAGATACTGGGGTGCAAAATAGCAAAATAAATAACAATATAGGGATGAGGTAGTTGGGTGGGCTAATTTCAGATGGGCTGTGTACAGGTGCAGTGATCGGTAAGGTGCTCTGACAACTGATGCTTAAAGTTATTGAGGGAGATAAGAGTCTCCAGCTTCAGAGATTTTTGCAATTCGTTCCAGTCATTGGCAGCAGAGAACTGGAAGGAATGGCGGCCAAAGGAGGTGTTGGCTTTGGGAATGACCAGAGAGATATACCTGCTGGAGCGCAGACTACGGGTGGGTGCTGCTATGGTGACCAATGAGCTAAGATAAGGCGGGGATTTGCCTAGCAGTGATTTATAGATGGCCTGGAGCCAGTGGGTTTGACGACGAACATGTAGTGAGGACCAGCCAACAAGAGCGTACAGGTCACAGTGGTGGGTAGTGTATGGGGCTTTGGAGACAAAACGGATGGCACTGTGATAGACTACATCCAATTTGCTGAGTAGAGTGTTGGAGGCTATTTTGTAAATGACATCGCCGAAGTCAAGGATCGGTAGGATAGTCAGTTTTACGAGGGCATGTTTGGCAGCATTAGTGAAGGAGGCTTTGTTGCGAAAAAGGAAGCCGATTCATGTTGTTTCTTCACACACCTGATGGCATACTTTCTCTGTGTGGTGTGTCGGTGGAGAGGTTGGAGAGAAATGACAGTGTGTTCAGGTTACTCAAGAAGGTACAGTGTCTGAAAAACACCTTTCAATGCTTCCTTATTGGCAAATTTACACCATACATTATAAGGAGAAAGTAGAGCAAACCTAAGCCTCCCTGTTCTCCCCAAACTCTTTTGCATTTCCGAGAAACCATCTAACTTGAGAGAACAAGCTTTCAAAGAGCTCTTAGAAACTCACACAATTCGCACAATTCAGTAGACAGACACTCATACAGGCAGGTCAGTTAAAATGTTGTTGTTTTTTAAAATATATTTTAAAAGTATTTTCTGCTTTTATTGACAGGGATAGACATTAAATGAAGAGGGAGACAGATGGTGGGCATAATGTTTAGAAGTGCGCTGGGACCAGGATTCGATCGCACGCAGGCAGGGGACTGCATATGTCAAAAGGTGCAGACAGCAGCAGCATAATATTGCAGCGATTTCGGGGGGGTAGCCAGGACCAGGACTCGAACTCAGGTCCTGCGACTGTCAACCCAACACATTAACCGTTTCACAGAGAGATTCAAGTCTCTTGATAAGGTCTCTAGGTGTTTGACATCTCCATGCCTGCCTGTACGCATGTGTCTGTGTGTTCATATGCAGTGGCGTAAAGTACTTAAATATAAATACTTTAAAGTACTACTTAAGGAGTTTTTTTGGGTATCTGTACTTTACTTTACTATTTATATTTTTGACAACTTTTACTTTTACTTCACTACAATCCTAAAGAAAATAATGTACTTTTTACTCCCTACATTTTCCTTGACACCCAAAAGTACTCAAAATCAAATCAAATCAAATCAAACTTTATTTACAGTGAAATGCTTACTTACAAGCCCTTAACCAACAATGCAGTTCAAGAAAAAATATTTACCAAATAAACTAAAGTAAAAAATTATAAAAAGTAACACAATAAAATAACAATAACGAGGCTATATACAGGGGGTACCGGTACCGAGTCAATGTGCGGGGGTACAGGTTAGTTGAGGTAATTTGTACATGTAGGTAGGGGTAAAGTGACTATGTATAGATAATAGACGGTGGGTAGCAGCAGTGTAAAAACAAATGGGGGGGGGGGGGGTCAATGTAAATAGTCATGGTGGCCATTTGATTAATTGTTCAGCAGTCTTATGGCTTGGTGGTAGAATCTGTTAAGGAGCATTTTTGTCCTAGACTTGGCGCTCCTGTACCGCTTGCCGTGCGGTAGCAGAGAGAACAGTCTATGACTTAGGTGACTGGAGTATTTAACAATTTTTTTGGCTTTCCTCTGACACCACCTATTATATCGGTCCTGGATGGCAGGAAGCTTGGCCCCAGTGATGTACTGGGCCGTATGTACTACCCTCTGTAGTGCCTTATGGTCAGATGCCAAGCAGTTGCCATACCAGGCGGTGATGCAACCGGTCAGGATGCTCTCGATGGTGCAGCTGTAGAACTACTCGTTACATTTTGAATGCAAAGCAGGACAGGAAAATGGTCCAATTCACACACTTGTCAAGAGAATACGTGGTCATCCCTACTTCCGCTGACCTGGCGGACTCACTAAAAACAAAACATTGTGTGTTGGAGTGTGCCCCTGGCTAAATTTTTTTAACAAGAAAATGGTGCCGTCTGCTTTGCTTAATATAAGGAATTTCAAATGATTTATACTTTTACTTTTACATTTGATACTTAAGTATATTTTATCAATTATATTTACTTTTGATACTTAAGTATATTTAGAACCAAACACTTTTACTTTTACTCAAGTATTATTTTACTGGGTAACTTTCACTTTTACTTGAGTAACTTTCTATTAAGGTATCTTTACTTTTACTCAAGTATGACAATTGGGTATTTTTTCCACCACTGTTCATAAATCCATGTTCTTTTTCAGATTAAATACAAAGCCAACCCTCTGCTGATGGCCGGGGTCATTTCCACTTGCCTCAGAGAGGAGCGTCGTATCATCTCCACAGCCAGCATTCAGGAACAGGTGAGTCTCTCTGACTCTGTTATGTCATCAGGAAAGTCCCTTCAGAAAGGTCTCTGTGTGTGTGTGTGTGTGTGTGTATGCATATGTGTGTGTGGTTTACTTCACCTTATCATCATCTTGACAGGGCCCGTTGGAGAAGTCAATGCAGAATTCGGTGGCCTTCGAGAGACAGAAGAACATGGACAACAGGGTGGCGGTGATCAGGAGTAGTGTGCAGATGATGGACCAGGCAGTGAAATATCTAGAAGACATGCAAGATGACTTTGACTTCCGCTATAAAACTCTCCAGTCTCGAGGTGAGCCATACACCCAATCTGAAATCCAATTGCAGCCCCTACCCTTATGGACTCCCCTAAGATCTGAGATGATTTGACAGCTGTCATATAATATTGGATAGCTGTAAGTAATATGGCAATAGCTGCACCTTGCCATCTGATGGCCTTATTATTGAATAACTATCTTAGTTTGTAGTATCTTTGCTTAAACCCTGCAGGTATAATGCAATATGATGTGCTTATAATGCATTGTAAGACTTGTCATAAGCATGTATGACCCCTTTTTAATGTCTTCTTATCATCTCATTATGATCCTGACTGAATAACAACCATAGGCTTTAAAGGGGCAATAACATTTAAAAAAAACTATGTTTTATTTCACCAAATTGTAACATTCTGTCATGATGAGCACATGTTCAACTTAAAGGTCCAATGCAGCCATTTTTATCTTAATATCAAATTATTTCTGGGTAATAATTAAGTACCTTACTGTGATTGTTTTCAATTAAAATTGTCAAAAACAAACAACAATTGCTTCTTAGCAAGAGCAATTTCTCAAGCAAGAATTCTGCTAGGACCATCTGGGAGTGGTCTGAGTGGGGAGGGGAAAACGGAACACTAGCTGTTATTGACAGAGAGGTTTGGAACGCTCTTTATTGTTAGCATAGTAACCAATTTACCGTCTGGTGATGTCGCCAGGCAGGCCAAAACTCCATCCCACCAAAACAGGCCGAAATTTCAGGCGGTCTTTTCAAACATCTTTTCAAACAATCATAATTTTCACAATGTCACAGTATTATTCCAACCTCATAGTGTGGAAATATATATAAAACACAGGAAAATCTAGTTTTTGACTGCACTGGGCCTTTAATAAAAAACATGTTTTCCCATTTCAAGAGGTTGAATACAAAAATTACTATAGTAAGTGGTAATGGAGTTGACCATACCAGGGTTGACGATTTCATCTTAAATCAGCCAAAAATCGTCAGAAATTACTTTGTCGAAGCAACAAAATAACTAAGGCTTTACAATAATGGTGAAAACTTTTTGGGATTAAAGGGGTTAAAATCTTCTGAGAGGTCACAGGCAGTGGATTTATTTAGCAAATCTATATTCAAATAAAAAATCTGATTTATTGAATTGTCCATGTGGTCTATTAAAGGGCACCACATTTAATATAACAGGCTTTTAAAATCCGATATTGGTGCACAATTTCTACTTACAATTTCAAAGGGATGCAAAAGGGACTCATTTCATGGAACGACCCATGTACCAATCCCAGATTGCACCTTTTATAGTGTTACCACTATGTTTTATCCTCTGTCATGCTGGATGTATTTTTGTCCCTCAGATCCAGCGGACAGGAACACAGCGGTGATGAAACAGGAAGTGACCCGACTGCAGGAGATGCTCAACAACCTGGACTTTAAGAGGAAGGTGTGGGAACACTACATACATTAGATAAACCAGCAATCAGCTATGGTTGTTACTACAGGCCTAAGCTTTGTGTGAAGCGTGTAAACAGTTGAAGCCCTTATCTGTGATGCCTTATCTTTGAGTTTATATGCATTTATTTGAATTGGGGCCACCGTTTCTGTCATGCAGTTGCTGTCTTACACAATTTTAGTCTATACAATTCTATATGAATATTTACTATATAGATACAATGGTTAAAACGTTTCCTTTTTTGGGGCCTGCGACGTGTGGAGAGCACCGTGGCATCCAACACGATATTGCAAATTAGATTTTCGTCTGACACTGCAAGACAGTCGAGTGAGTTTAGATATCAAAGTCGTGAGGATATTTATTGAATTCGCTTCAGGGACTACACAACAAAACAAACTTTGATGTATAATATTAAAATATTTGGCATTTAACAGACACTTTTATCCAATGTAACTTATATCAATAGTACAGGGGTTCCCAACCAATGTTTTGTGGGGGGGTGTGGGACCTTCCTTGATTTGAGGGTAAAAAAAAAACTATAATTGTATATATATTTTTTTTTTTTACAATTCGTGATTGTTTATACCAATCTAAAATGACACATACATCCGCGTTGCTTCAGGCTAGAAACAAGCAGTAAAATGCCAGAGGAAGACGCAACTCTGATGCAAAGGGGAATTTCTTTGGTTTTTCTCTATGACATTCAGAAGCTGAGCTACAACCTTCTAAAGTCGAGGAGTCGAAGACATTGGACTGGCTTGGAAAGTAAACTCATACAATGTGTGACTCTGTCGCTATGAATTGATCTAATCACTTTCTGTAAAAGAGAATATGTACAGTATAATTAAATTGAGGGTTCATATAAATTATCCTAATAAAACATATTTGGTAGCGGAATAGCATTTGGGGAAATCGGGTCTAGACTATTTTCCCTATCCATTATTGATGGGATTATCATTAAATAACCTACCTAAAAGATGTCATGAGTCTTGTTAAACCACATATAATTGCATGAAATGAGCATTAAAAAAAAAACAAGGTCAATCATATTAAAGCAAAATCAATCTGGTGGTGTATTTAATATAGCCTATCTCAATAAACAATAATACATTTAAAAAGGATTCAAATCAAATCAAATCAAATTTTATTGGTCACATGCGCCGAATACAACAGGTGCAGACATTACAGTGAAATGCTTACTTACAGCCCTTAACCAACAGTGCATTTATTTTAAACAAAAAAGTAAGAATAAAACAACAACAAAAAAGTGTTGAGAAAAAGAAGAGCAGAACTAAAAAATAAAGTGACAGTAGGGAGGCTATATATACACAATAGAATAAAGTGACAGTAGGGAGGCTATATATACAGGGGGGTACCGTTGCATAGTCAATGTGCGGGGGCACCGGCTAGTTGAGGTAATATGTACATGTGGGTAGAGTTAAAGTGACTATGCATAAATACTTAACAGAGTAGCAGCAGCGTAAAAAGGATGGGGTGGGGGGGCAGTGCAAATAGTCCGGGTAGCCATGATTAGCTGTTCAGGAGTCTTATGGCTTGGGGGTAGAAGCTGTTGAGAAGTCTTTTGGACCTAGACTTGGCACTCCGGTACCGCTTGCCGTGCGGTAGCAGAGAGAACAGTCTATGACTAGGGTGACTGGAGTCTTTGACAATTTTGAGGGCCTTCCTCTGACACCGCCTGGTATAGAGGTCCTGGATGGCAGGGAGCTTTGCCCCAGTGATGTACTGGGCCGTACGCACTACCCTCTGTAGTGCCTTGCGGTCAGAGGCCAAGCAGTTGCCATACCAGGCGGTGATGCAACCAGTCAGGATGCTCTCGATGGTGCAGCTGTAGAATTTTTTGAGGATCTGAGGACCCATGCCAAATCTTTTTAGTCTCCTGAGGGGGAATAGGCTTTGTCGTGCCCTCTTCACGACTGTCTTGGTGTGTTTGGACCATGATAGGGAGCCCCTGTTCTAAGCCAACCCTGCCTTTTTTGCTCCACGGTTGTGCATGCATCAGTTTTGTTCAGGGCCGTGCAGACCTTTTGGGGGGCATGTGCTCAAACTAAAAAAGGGCATCCCAACAAAAAAATATTCCCACAACCCTGGTCACAGACTCCTTGAGCAATTATTGCAAGAACAGTGGAAAGCAGCACTATCCGATTAGTAAAGTATTTTGCTAAATTGTTTTGAACTGGAATAAATGCTGCACTTACAGTATTAACAATGACCAACACAATTCCAGTCAAATTAGAAGATTGTAAGAAATACTGTAGCCTACCATTACTATATCCAACCCAACTCCATTTGTTGCCATTATCATGTATCCAAGTTGTTTTCAACGTTTTTGACCTGCGACCCCCAAAAAGAAGTGGCACAAAACTTGCAACCACTCGCACATGCACATATTATTATTATTATTATTATTATTATTATTATTATTATTATTATTATTATTAAATAGCCTACCTAAAAGATTACATGAGTCTTGTTAAACTATGTAGAATTGCAGGAAATGAGCTTCAAAACAACAACATTTTCAAATGTGAAAAAGCGGGCCCTGGGGAAAAAAGATTGTCAAACCCTGAATTAATGCATAACTATTCGTATGAGTGGCCCCAGTGGGAATTGAGCCCACAACCCTGGTGTTGCTAGCATCATGCTCTTACCAACTGAGCCACACAGGACCAGCAGTGAGTTGTTGTTATTGTTCCCCCACAGGAGAACCTATCTAAGATGAGTGACGTGATAAAAGAGATTGATGGTCTGATAGTCTCCCAGCTGAACCCAGAGCTGATGGAGTGGAAACGCAGGCAGCAGATCAACTGTATAGGTGGCCCACTGCTCACTGGACTAGACCAGCTCCAGAACTGGTAATGCAACCAATCATGCTTACACACACACACACACACACACACACACACACACACACACACACACACACACACACACACACATTCCTCATAACTCTATCTTATAAGTTATAACTATATCCCAAAATATAGGTAAACCTCAATTAATGCGCTCACCCTCTCTCTCTCCCAGGTTTACTCTGATAGCCCAAAGTCTGTTCCAGATGAAGCGTCAACTGGACAAACTGGGGGAGCTTATATTAAAGGTGACGTATGAGAGAGATCCCATCCCCCTGCAGAGACCGCAGATGGAGGAGCAGGTCAAATATCTCATCTACCACCTCATCAAAAGGTACTGACCTCAACAAAACTGAACACCTACTCTAACCAAATGCATGAAATATCCATATCACAAAGTGATTTCCCAAAGAACTGCAAGCATAGGGAAGCATGAATGGGAAGTCATGGGAAGTCTTGATGACAGTGAAATGGACTTGACTGTTATGTTGCCTCCATCCAAAACTAGGTGGTATACACAACTGCTATTATGCTATTGTAATTCTCTTGTGTGCCATCGTTGTGTCATCCTTTGTACAATGTCCACAGCTCCTTTGTGGTGGAGAAGCAGCCATGTATGCCAACCCATCCCCAGAAACCTCTTATCATCAAGACTGGGGTGCAGTTCACCACCAAAGTCAGGTATGTGTATTAAGATGCAACACAACTCAATACATGGTGCTTATCAATCCGTTGTGTGTGTGTGTGTGTGTGTGTACATCATAAATATACACTCACCAGACAATTTATTAGGTACACCCATCTAGTACCGGGTCGGACCCCCCTTTGCCTCCAGAACAGCCTGAATTCTTCGGGGAATTCTACAAGGTGTCGGAAACGTTCCACAGGGATGTTGGTCCATGCTGACGTGATGGCACCATGCAGTTGCTGCAGATTGGACGGCGGTGCATTCATGCTGCGAACAGCCGGTTGCAACTAATTCCAAAGATGTTCTATTGGGTTGAGGTCTGGGGACTGCGCAGGCTACCCAAGTAAACTGAACTCACTGTCATGTTCCAGGCAATGTTTTTCCACTCCTGAATTGTCCAGTGTTGGTGATCGCGTGCCCACTGGAGCCACTACTTCTTGTTTTTAGCTGATAAGCGTGAACCCGGTGTGGTCATCTGCTGCAATAGCCCATCCGTGACAAGGATCGACAAGTTGTGCGTTCCGAGATGCCGTTCTGCACACCACTGTTGTACTGCACCGTTATCTGTCTGTTTGTGGCCCGCCTGTTAGCTTGCACGGTTCTTGCGATTCTCCTTCACCTATCTCACCACCAAGCTGTTTTCGCCTACAGGACTGCCGCGGACTGGATATTTTTTGTTTGTCACACCATTCTCTGTAAACCTTAGACACTGTCGTGTGTGAAAAGCCCAGGAGGGTGGCCGTTTCTGAGATACTGGATCCAGCGCGCCTGGCACCGACGATCATACCACGCTCAAAGTTGCTTAGGTCACTCGTTTTGCCCATTCTAACCTTAAATCGAACAGTAATTGAATGCCTCGATGCCTGTGTGCCTGATTTATATAGCAAGCCAAGGCCAAGTGACTCACTATCTGTACCTAATAAACTGTCAGGGGAGTGTATGTTTTTGCTAAATATTTATGTTTGGTCACTTTTCTGTCTAGATTGCTGGTCAAACTTCCAGAGGTGGATTACCAACTAAAAGTGAAGACAATATTTGACAAGTGAGTATTAGTGTAATGGAACACAGCAATATGTGGCACATTTACCTCAAAGTGGTCGCTCTTTGCAAGCTCTGTTACACAAACTGACAACATTGTGTGAACATGAATATATTTCAGAAACGTAATGTTTCATAGACATCAAGATATGCTTCATTGACATTTATAATCAAGCTAGCACTACATTACTGAGTAATGTAATGTATTCTCTTCCCTGTGTGTAGGGACCTCCCCCCTGGCAGAGTGTGAGTATACCCATGCAACCTCAATGTGGGATGTTTGTGGGGATTTCCTGTTGTTGTTATTTAAGCCAATATCGAAGCTTCTCATGTGGCATGTGTGTACATGAGGGTTCCTCAATGGTTCTTTGGGAAGGGTGATGGTTCTATGTGGAACCATACTGACCCAAAGAACCCTTTGAGCCCTTCAAAAGTTCTTTGCAGTTCAAAAAAGGGTTCATTCCTCTTTTATTGATAATTAAAATGTAGGGTCGGTGGCTCATTAGAATATTTTGGGGCATGGTTTTTGCACAGCTCTTTTTGTGCAACCATGAGTGAGAGTGTCATTCTAGTTTATCTCATCTGTTGTGTTATGCTCTTTCATGTTATACAGTGCTGTAAAAAAGTATTTCTGATTTTCTAAATGTTTGTATATTTTTTATACTGAATGTTATCAGATCTTCAACCAAAACCTAATATTAGATAAAGGTAACCTGAGTTTACAAATAACAAAAAAATATGGGTGCTTATTTTATTTATTTTATTAACAAAGTTATGCAACACCCAATTCCCCTGTGTGAAAAAGTAATTGCCCCCTTACACTCAATAACTGGTTGTGCCACCTTTCGCTACAATGACTGCAACCAAACGCTTCCTGTAGTTGTTGATCAGATCTCTCACGTCGCTGTGGAGGAATTTTGGCCCACTCTTGCATGGAGAACTGCTTTAACTCAGCGACATTTGTGGGTTTTCTAGCATGAACTGCTCGTTTCAAGTCCTGCCACAACATCTCAATTGGGATTAGGTCTGGACTTTGACTGGGCCATTCCAAAACTTCAAATGTGTTGCTTTTTAGTCTTTTTCATGTAGACTTGATTGTGTGTTTTGGATCATTTTCTTGCTGCATAACCCAGCTGCGCTTCAGCTTCAGCTCACAGATGGATGGCCTGACATTCTCCAGTAAAATTCTCAGATACAGAGCAGAATTCATGGTTCTATTAAGGCAAGTCGTCCAGGTCCTGAGGCAGCAAAGCATCCCCAAAGCATCACATTACCATCGCTACGCTTGACCGTTGGTATAAGGTTCTTACTGTGGAATGTTTGGTTTTCTCCAGACACAATGGGACCCATCTCGTCCAAAACGTTGACTCAAGTTTGCCAGAAAGCACCTGGAAGCACCTGGATGATCATCAAGGATCTTGGAAGAATGTTCTATAGACAGATGAGTCAAAAGCATAACTTTTGAAAATGGCTAAAAATCAACTAATTTGACGTTTTGGAATGGCCTAGTCAAAGTCCAGACCTAATTCCAATTGAGATGTTGTGGCAGGACTTGAAACGAGCAGTTCATGCTTGAAAACCCACAAATGTGGCTGAGTTAAAGCAGTTCTGCTTGGAAGAGTGGGCCAAGATTCCTCCACAGCGACGTGAGAGACTGATAAAAAACTACAGGAAGCGTTTGGTTGTAGTCATTGCAGCTAAAGGTGGCACAACCAGTTATTGAGTGTAAGGGGGCAATTACTTTTTCAAAGCACTGTATATGACTATGGCCAGTGACGGTGTCTTGTGAAAGACTCACGTATGGCCTTGTGTCAGTTGAGAATGGTTGACTAAGTCAGTAGTTCTCAATTCTCTCCTCAGGGACCCGCAGCTGTTCCAGAGCTAGCACACCTGATTAAACTTGTTAATAAACACAATAATAAAACTATGGCATTTCGACAGTATAATATGGCTCTTAAACCAGAATAATCTTTATAGAACCATTCTCCTTAAAGGTTCTATAAAGAACCATAAAAAAGGGTTATTTCTATATAGCCCCAAAAAGGGTTGGAACCATAGCGGAACTCTTTTTTGGTGCTATATCGAATATTTTTTAATGGTTATTTATAGAATCTTAGGAAAGCCCCATACATGTTCCATTTAGAACCTTATGAGCATGGTTATTTTTATAGAGCCTTCAAAAAAAGGTTCCATATAGCACCAAAAAGGGTTCCGCTATGCTTACAAGCCAAATAACCTGTATTTGGCACTATGTAGAACCATTTGTTTTTAGTGTGTAGGGAGAACAGTGACAAAGAGAGAAATATGAGAAGTCATGTTTGATTACAAATCAGATGACACAGTTTAAGTGAGCAGACTAATTCCCTTTTTAGCTGCCTGGAATCCAACTTGAATTTGAGTTGTTTCTACCACCACATGTGTTTGCCATGTACAGTATCTTAGTTCATTTTGTTGTTGTTGCTGTGCTATGTTTGTGCGTGTGTGTGCTTAGTTCAGACTACTAACTATGGCTTTGCCCCGTCCATCTCCATTCAGAAATCGTCAGTTCTTCATCCTAACTACCAACACCAAAGTAATGGACGTGGAGGAATCATCCAATGGCTGTCTGTCTGTGGAGTTCAGACACTTGGTAAACTCTCACTTTCACTGTCCCCACTAACACACCAACATTTTAATAATAATTCAACCTCAATCTGTTAATCCACAGGTTTAGTGAAACATTTTAGTGGAATCAAACTAATTTGGTTCAATGGGGCTGGCTGGCAACAGCCATATTGGAAATAACACACAACTGTTTGCAATGACCCTATTAAATAGCAAAACTGTTTTATTGAGATCACCCTGCCCTAGCTGTACATTACGTTGTGTGAATAGTTCATTTGATATTAATGTAAGTATATTTATTATGCATTGATTTAATATTTCTATCTTCTTCAGCAGCTGAAAGAGAAGAAATATGTTAATGGGACCAAGGTGAACGAGGTGAGAGAAGTAATATGAAAGTTGAACAAAACTTTTAGTTTTTCCATGGTTAAGGGTCAGTGATGCATGCCTATCTAAGATTACACTTTAGCAAAGTGACCTTTAGTAAACCTTCACCTTTGAAACCTGAACTTCAGATTTATTTGCCATGGTAGAACTGCTTTGTCGAGCCAAAGATGGTGGATAAATGAAGATGTCCCGCTCAGGCCGTTTACCATTGAAAAAAATTGTCAGTTCCAGTCTGCTTAACGGGTTGGCTCTCCCATAGGCTCCAATGCATTAGCAGCTGGGTCTGCTCTGCTTAGTTTATTGACTGTAATGTAACCAGAAAGAATTAGGGAGTGGGATGTCTTACTTCTTCTTCTGTCTCTTTGTAACAACTTCAAAAGAGATTAATTCTGGTCAACCAGAGATCATTTGATTAGAAGTCATTGGACACAGAGGTGAATTAAGAGTTTAATAATTATGATTTATTTAGAGGTAAATCCTTTGTTTTACTTTGCTTGAGGTTATATATTTTTAAAAGATGAACTCAAAAACACTTCCATTAAGAAAGAGGTCGCTGCTTTCTTAAAACAGTAGAGGGCAACATTGCCAAGGATTTACAACGTTTTCCCCTTAATTTGAAGTTTGAACTCCTTTTCAGGACAATGGCTTTTGTTTGCTTACGTTTTCAATCACAGATGGAAAACCTTGTTAACTCCCTAGTAAACTCCTAATTGAAATAACATGTGCTCTTTCTGAGAAAGTTTGATCATAGATTAACTTTTGAATATAAGAAAGGAGTTTATTTTGCCTTTTTATTCACGTAGCTCAACAAAAGTCATGGCAAGTCTTCATTGACATGCTTTAGACACTTGGATACAGGATCCTTATCTTATCACAGAAAATGACTGAATGAATACTGCTATCAAACTTCCCCATATTGCTCATATACTGTAGAGGGAATATAATTACTTCAGTGCCGATTTTAGCATGTAAATCTTGGAGGGGCAAAAAAAACAAAATGTGGGATGCACGCCAGCAAAGCCACTACACAAAACTAAACAACACATTAATTGCATTATAATGGTGACAAACGGTGCCCACAAACTGTTAGGGCCTATATAAAGCTGTCCCAACAGCAGAGTCCCAACAGCAGTCCCAACACCTTACCACTGCTACACCTGGCTATCAGCGGAGCCTTGTCTGGCAGTGAAACAGTTCATTCAGCCACATTTACTGCCTTAAAAAAAAACATAGCTGATATGGCTGACTTGCTTAAACAAATGTGGTTTCTACTGACAATTGAGATGTACAAACTATGGCATAAGGGGACGACAAGCGAAAAAAAGGCAATCCGTAATTTCGATTAAGACATTAATGAGCGAGCTAGGACGGACGTAGTTAATATAACTATTTGTTCAGCACTTTTGAAATGTACAGCGACAGAATTCAGAACATGAGCCGTTCTTACAGTGTTCTCCCTGTACACCAAGTCAGAACCGTAGGATAAAGGGGGCTTATAAGCAGACAATGAAAGCTCTTACAATATTCGCTGATTATATTTCTCTAAAACAGGCTATAGGCTACATGTGCACCACCAAGTCAGAACAGTAGGCGAAAGTATACCAAATTATTAGGGTGAGGCACATGGGCTACTAACAGTTTACTACATACACTTAGTATTACTTTCTTAGCTACAGTATACATATCTCCCTGGCATATTACATAATTTATGCAGCAGCATACAATACATTTTTGGACTCACCTTGTGATGTGCTCACTTGAACAGGAAGGTGGTGCGGCGGTCCTTCGTGGGCAAATTTTGTCATCAAAGTCTGGCATTCTCTGGATTTATGGTGCTTTCAAGACATTTACATGACATTTACGTCATTTAGCAGACGCTCTTATCCAGAGCGACTTACATTTACATTATTCTTTTTAATTTTCATACCCCATGGGAATCGAACCCACAACCCTGGCGTTGCAAACGCCATGCTCTACCAACTGAGCTACCTCCCTAAGACAACTGGGAACTCGGAAAAAAGCAAGGTTGAATCATGATGATGTCAGTGATCTTCAGGTCGTAGCTCTAGAAAGAGGCCCGAGTTCAATTCCGAGTTGGATGACCGTTCAAAACGTATTTTTCCCAGTCTAAGCTCGTTTTTTCAGAGTTTCCAGTTGTCTTGAACTCACTGAAGTCAGATTTCACAGTTCCGAGTTAACAGTTGTTTTGAGCGCGGCACAAATCATCCTTCATTGACAGCATGGCCAATGTTGAATGTTTATAATTTTAAGCTTGGAAAAGAGACCCTTAATCCCAGATATGGGACAACATAGCCACTCCACTGAATAGCAGGCTAGTGATTGATTTGAAATGCTTGCAGTTAGCCACTGATTCCTTCCAAACCACTCATTGTTGAATTTGCGAGTTCCAACTTGTTGTGTAATGTTTATGTCCAATGGCCGATGAGCACCGATACATTTTATCTATAATTTCTCTTCATAATTTCTCTTCATATGACAAGGATTAAAAAAGGATTCGCCAGTAGATTGTCGACTTGATTCATGATGATGACTGCTTGCTAAGATTTTGAAAGTTTGATTCTGACATGATCAGTCCAATCAAAGCTACTGTAGATATAATGTGATTTGATGTCATTTTATCTGTGGCCTATGACCTTGAGCCTTCTTGGATGGGCTCTTCTAATGTAACTCTATGGCAGCACCCAAGGTGCTTGAATTCTCGAGCTCTACCCTTAGACTTGGTGGTGACGTAGTGTACCCATGAGTGACAGAACACTGAGCCAATCACGGCGCAACTAGAGAACATTACCAACACCTACGCTCCGTATTTTCTGCTGGCTGTCCCACCACCACAGAAAGCACTGAGCTAGGCTGAAACACCTGCATTTTGGAGCTGCCTTACTCAAGAAAGCAAAAAAGCGGCTTTATTAACTCAATTACTTTATTTTTAATGTTTTATTTATTGCTTGCAAACTGATATGTGACACGTATTAATGCCATTTCTTAGCTAAAAATGTGGGGCTCAAAACAGGTGGGGCTCTTGCCCTGAATGACTAGTCGCCACTGAATTACTTCCTTGAAGATCGGGTCCTTATATTTTTCCCAGCCTTGTTATGGAATGCTGTTCTTTGGTAAATAGGGCAAATTCCTTGGTGGGTCACTCACTGCACAAAAAAGTTTTTGTAGCCCTCTGCTACTGTATTTAATGTGTTCTGAGAAAAAGGTTTAGTGAAGTGTGGTGTAGTAGAGTGTTTGTAAGAGGAAGGCATTTAGTAAAGTGTGTGTGTGTCTTGTGTGTCATGTGTCTGTGTGTGTGTGTGTGTGTGTATTCTGCTGGTTCCAGGGTCCTCTCTCTGTGACGGAGGAGCTCCACTCCCTCAGCTTTGAGGCCCAGTTCAACATACAGGGCATTAACATCGACCTGGAGGTCAGTCAATTTCTACACTCTCCTTCACATTTTCTTTACATTTACATTTTAGTCATTTAGCAGACGCTCTTATCCAGAGCGACTTACAGGAGCAATTAGGGTTAAGTGCCTTGCAGATTTTTCACCTAGTCTCCTATATAAGACACACACTCTCCCACACACACCACACATATTCTTACAATACTCCACACCGTCCCACACCACATATAACCCCCACACAGTCTTCCTGGCATACATTGTCAGTCATTATTAGTCATTGTGTAAGCATATACTGTATGCGTGTGTGTGTGTGACTGTGTGTATGTGTGCATGCATATGTGTCTCTCTCTCTGCAGACCTGCTCCTTTCCTCTGGTGGTCATCTCCAACGTTAGCCAGCTGCCTGGAGGCTGGGCATCTGTCATGTGGTACAACCTGCTGACTGACGAACCCAGGGTGAGCTGAACACACACACACACACACACACACTACCACCATTCTTTTAGGTGTTTTATCTTTTATCTCTCTCTCTTTCCTCTGTGCCGCTCCCTTTTTTAGAACCTGGGCTTCTTTGCCAGTCCTCAGCGGGCCAGTTGGGGCCAGCTCTCTGAGGTACTGAGTTGGCAGTTCTCCACCTTCACTGGGCGGGGCCTCAACAGGGAACAGCTGTGCATGCTAGGAGAGAAACTCTTGGGTATGGTGGCCTAGTGGAACTCTTTTCATGAGGGCATAACAGTGTTGGAACAGCATACCTACATCATTTATTTGCACAGGTCATGAGGAAAAGCGCTCCCGTCCTTCACAAGTATTTTCAATTATGAGAGAACAGGAATGTGAATTGTCATGCGATTGTTCACAATCTGTCTTTGGCTTCCAACCACCACAATAGTATGGACTCTCTCTATATTATCTAAGGTGGTGCTATTTCTGTCCAAGAATACTTTAATATTCATTCTTAGTGTATGAATTTGTAATGTTTTTTTTTAAAATAATCATAAATCTATTAATCATCTTCACTGTAGGTCAGCAAGCCTCCCAAAATGAATGTCAGGTATCCTGGTCCAAATTCTGCAAGGTAGGTCCTACTGCTTCCTATAGTCCTACTACTACAAGTCTTAAACACAAGATGAAGGATGTCATGTCTTACTAACAAATTGCACCACTTCCCCTCAGCCTACTTCCAGTGGTCAAATTAAATTGATAATTTGAGGCTGTCTTTTTACTGAAAGATGCCATGAAAACTTTTAAGGGTAATTCTCATCTCTCTTTCCCATTCCGTCTGCTTTTTCCAGGAGAATATTCCTGGGAAGAATTTCAGTTTCTGGATGTGGCTGGATTACATCCTGGAGCTCATCAAGAAGCACCTACTTCCCATCTGGAACGACAAGTGAGACTTAAGGCCTGGTCAGAAACAACCCCCACCCTAGGGGATACCCTTTCCCCTAGGCACTATGCCATATGTGGACAATTATTAGGGGGACAGATGGAGTTATTACCAAGTTGCTTCTACAATATTCTCAGATCTACATAAATGCTTAGGGGATAGATGCTAGGGGCTACAGGTTGCTTTGTGTACCCCCTGCTGATCCTCAAGCTACCCTTTGCTAAACTACAATGTTGGGTTCAGTTCCATTTCATCTCAGTTGTAAATCAAGAAGTGAATCATTAGGTTCAGTTCCATTTGAATTGATCTAATGGACTGGATTGATCTATTCACTGATGAGGGCTATAGACCACAGTGTACTGTTAAATCAGTGGGTGTAAATAAGTAATGTAACGGTGGTGTAACTGATGATGTGGTTTGGGTGTGCTTCCTTCAGCTGCATCATGGGCTTTGTCAGTAAGGAGACGGAGAGGGCCCGTCTGAAGGACAAGGAGCCTGGGACTTTCCTTCTGCGCTTCAGCGAGAGCCACCTGGGCGGGATCACCTTCACCTGGGTGGAGCAGTCCGACAGTGGTGAGGCCTGCTCGCCTGTCAATTACTGTGGTGTCGTGAAAAAATTATCTTCACTATATGGAATTTTTGCATCTCCTCTTGAGCCAAAGGGGGTCCCCTACATGGAGAGAAATATTGTCCAGAAATTACCTGATTAGACATAAAGGGTCACACCTCTCCACACCCATTAGTAAAGTGATATTGTTTGCCTAAAACGAATTATTTGTTTGGTTTCATAAGATAATAAATTGATTCATATTTGATCTGAACCATGCAGTCAACATTGAAATCCACAAAACAATTAGCACCTAAACTTCCACAGTGTCTTTAACATTGATTCTGTAAACATTCAACTCTGATTGGCGCTATGGTTGTGTCTGTGTCAGCAGGAGAGGCCAAGTTCATCTCGGTGGAGCCGTACACCAAATCTCGCCTCAGCGCTCTCCCATTTGCCGACATTATCCGTGACTACAAGGTCATCGCAGACGGAGAGGTCCCTGAGAACCCTCTAAAGTTCCTCTACCCAGACAAACCCAAAGACGAGGCTTTCGGACGACATTACAACAGCCAGCAGAGCAAAGGCAAGATGTCTGCCAAGACATGTTTATGATAGAAAGGGTTTTGGCTTGTACTGTATATAAAATAATTCTGACCACCTAGGTCTACCTGTGTGTTACCTAGTTACTGGGGGTTGGTGCACAACATGCAATTATCGCTCATAACCAATCCAGCAAACCGGGAACATTCCCAGAACATTAGCTAAGATTCACATTAGGATAATAACATCCCAAAAACATTCAAATATAGTTTTTGATAAGAAAATTTATTTTTTATAAAAATAAAAATAAAGAACTATCCTTGGAACGTTCTCCTAACAACCACCTCAGAACATTCCCCAAAAGTTCTCATTATGTTTCCAGGTAATGTAATAACACAATGTACCAGTAATGTTTTTAGAACATACTGTTGCAACAAAATGTGAGAGCAATAGAAATGGTTCTGAGAAAACATGGGAACGTTTTGCTAATGTTGATGGAGATGTTATTAAAAACACCCATAACAACACGCAGGGAATATTCCCACAATGCTAAAGTTATAGTTTGATGTTAAGGTATGATTGTTCCAATAACGTTCCCTAAACATTCTTCAGCAATTATGTCTGGATTCAATTAAATTGGTTCTGAGAAAACATTACTGGAACGTTTCGCTAACATTAATGGAGATGACATCCGAGACACCTAGTATAGGATCTTAAATTCACCAATTTCTCACAGCAGGAAAATAATCCTGCAGCAAAAGGAAATTTGAATTACTATGTGGATTATAATGAATACATTTTTAGTATGGATTGATAAATATTTCGTTAGGGCAAATTAAGTCTGACATTTAAAAGTTGAAATTACAAACTTTAGAAGCATTTTTAAACCTCAAATACGCTACAAGTTTACATTTCCTATGGCACAGGAACATTTATCCTGCAATAGGTGGTCAAATTAAGATCCTGTATAGGCCTAACAACCAATGATGTGTATTGATAACAACCAGCAGCCCAGCAAACCGGGAACATTCCCACAACATCAGCTAACATTCCCATGAAGTTCTAGTTAGGGTTTGAGCTAACATTAGGATGATAACGTCCCACAAACATTCAAAGAATGTTTTTGATCAGCAAATATTTTTTTATATAAAAAGGTTTGAAATGAATTATCCTTGGAATGTTCTCCTAACATTCACTAAAATGTTCTTCACGATATCTGTAAAAACTACCACAGAACATTCCCCTAAGTTTCCCATTAGGATGCCAGGGAATGTAATAACACAATGTTCCGGTAATATTCATAGAATATACTACCGCAACAAAATGTGGGAGCAATAGAAGTGGTTCTGAGGAAACATTACAGGAATGTTCTGCTAATGTTGATGGATATGTTATTCAAAACACCCATAACAACAAGCAGGGAATATTCCTACAATGGTCTCATAAAGTTATAGTGTGACATTATGACATGTTGGTTCTACTAATGTTCCCTGAACATACTTCAGCAATAAAATGTTGGAGCAATAGAAGTTGTTCAAAAAAACATTCCTGGAATATTCAGTTAATGTTGATGGATTGTCATGTGATTCTGAATAATTGTCATATGTGTTTCCACATGGGTTGTTGTACAACTAATTTCCTCAACAGTAAGATAACACAAACACATGAAAGAAACCTCCATGGACTGTTCAAAACGTAATTTTATAATTCTGGGAAAATACTAATACAATTCAAAGAACATTGAGGGGATGTTTTGTGCACCCTGATACAAACATTCTAAGAATGTCATCACAATTGGACAGATTTTGTGTTTTGGGAACCTATCTCTTGTCATATCCCCACAATGTTCCCACAACCTAAAGAAATGTTTTAGAAACTTTTAAAGAAGTACAAAAAATGTGTTCTGGGAATGTTCTTGCAACATCAGGATAATGTATTTTCAACCTAATAGAAACATTGTAATCATTAGCACAACTGGACGATTTTTTTGTTTTGGGAAATATCTCTTGTCATGTCCCCGCAATGTTACAAACAACCTACAGAAATATGTTAGGAACTTTTAAAGAACATAAAAAATGTGTTTCTTGTAACAACAGGTGAATGTTTTTTGCACCCTAAAAGAAACATTGTATAATCACCCGCACAACTGGAAAAGGTTTTTGTGTTTTGGGAACAAATATTTTGTGATGTCCCAACAATGTTCCCACCAGACTGTTCCCAGAACCTAATGAAACATTCTGGGAACCTTTAAAGAAAAGACTAAATGTGTTCTGGGAATGTTCTTCCAACATCAGGTGAATGTTTTATACAAACATTGTATAATCATCAGCACAACTGGACAGTCAAATGTTCGGGGAACTGGGAAGCAGGATTGATATTGTCAACAATTTGAATGGTTGTTTACTAACATGCCCATAATCTCCAATTTTTTTAATCTTCTTGCAGTCTTTCCATACATATCATCTATGCTGATCCCCATCTCCACTTTGTAGTGAGTACTTAACAGTTTAAGTTTGTTAAGATCTTATAATATGTGCATACCAGGAGTTGCATGCAGACCTGCGCTGAAGATGTGTATCTGAAATATTAGGCTATATTAGGCTAATTAGATATCCTTTGTTTCTATAGTCTAAACCATTCCCTTGACTTATATCTCTCTCTCTCTCTCTCTCTCCACTCCTGCCGCCCCCGCCCTTAGTACCACGCCTCCCCCCTGCTCCTCCCCAGAACCTCCCATGTCCCCTGGGATGTTTGACATGCTCAACCAGCACCTCAGCCCCTTGGAGATTGAGACTGCCGTGAGTACAGTAACCGCCCAACCTAAACAGACACACTGCATCTAGCCTAGTCCCAAACTGTAGACCTATCTAATGGAGCCAACTCTTCCATTGCAGAGACGCAGTTGCCTCTCTAAGCCAGTAGGTGCTGGTATACAATAACTGTTGTCTCAATTTTGGTGATAATACAAGAAATGCATTTTCAACTCTGTTACACTTGTATCAGTGGAGGCTCCTCAGAGGAGGAAGCCGAACGAAATGGGGCTAAACCTACCTGAATTTGTCCAATAAAAACTATTGTCTGCAACTGTTTTGACTAGTGTTTACACCCTAGATCAGCTAGATGCAGGCAAGAGTGTGCAATGCGGTATTGAATGTGTCACTGTCTGCCACCTTGATTACTCCAATTTGTCTTTCGACCTGTGCACCTACGTTATAAACTTTAATTCGTAGGCTAGGTTGTAGCAACCTCATGATGGGTATAGGGAACATTTGAGTATCATGTAGTAGCCTAAACCTATCGATGTTCATTGAGCTGGGTGAATGGAATATGAAGGACATTCATCCAATATGCTGTAATAGAAATAAGGCGATGCGCATAAAAAAGTCTTAAACAGCACTGACCGCCACTGACTTGCATGGTGTATAGTAATGATAGAAGAGTTGGCTATAGAACACATAATATACAGTATGGGAGTAGGCTACACCACAGCAAGGTATTAAAACACTCTGGAGATGAACTAGGTTCAGAAGCCTAGGTTGACTTTATCTCTGCTCTGGCCTTGACCTTAAATAAGTATTGTAAGATGAAGTGCCTTTGTAAAATAAATGAGTTGTCGTGAAGACTCCTTGTAATTCTCTGTGGTGATTGGACTGAACCTGCAGAAACAATCTTTAACTTTTACAGATGAGTTCTCCGTACTCCGAGTAACACAAGATGACCTGCAGAGTATGCCAAGTAACTCACTCTTCTCTGACTAGTGGCCTACAATGTGTAATTTTCTCTTACATCTGATCACAATACATTGCTCTTCTACCCAACTGTTAGTATTGTCTTTGAGCCATTTGTCATGAATACAAATGTATAATATGATGTTATGAGCGTAAAGTACAGTGGGGAAAAAAAGTATTTAGTCAGCCACCAATTGTGCAAGTTCTCCCACTTAAAAAGATGAGAGAGGCCTGTAATTTTCATCATATGTACCCGTCAACTATGACAGACAAATTGAGATTTTTTTTCGCCAGAAAATCACATTGTAGGATTTTTTATGAATTTATTTGCAAATTATGGTGGAAAATAAGTATTTGGTCACCTACAAACAAGCAAGATTTCTGGCTCTCACAGACCTGTAACTTCTTCTTTAAGAGGCTCCTCTGTCCTCCACTCGTTACCTGTATTAATGGCACCTGTTTGAACTTGTTATAAGTATAAAAGACACCTGTCCACAACTCAAACAGTCACACTCCAAACTCCACTATGGCCAAGACCAAAGAGCTGTCAAAGGACACCAGAAACAAAATGGTAGACCTGCACCAGGCTGGGAAGACTGAATCGGCAATAGGTAAGCAGCTTGGTTTGAAGAAATCAACTGTGGGAGCAATTATTAGGAAATGGAAGACATACAAGACCACTGATAATCTCCCTCGATCTGGGGCTCCACGCAAGATTTCATCCCGTGGGGTCAAAATGATCACAAGAACGGTGAGCAAAAATCCCAGAACCACACGGGGGGACCTAGTGAATGACCTGCAGAGAGCTGGGACCAAAGTAACAAAGCCTACCATCAGTAACACACTACGCCGCCAGGGACTCAAATCCTGCAGTGCCAGACGTGTCCCCCTGCTTAAGCCAGTACATGTCCAGGCCAGTCTGAAGTTTGCTAGTGTGCATTTGGATGATCCAGAAGAGGATTGGGATAATGTCATATGGTCAGATGAAACCAAAATATAACTTTTTGGTAAAAACTCAACTCGTCGTGTTTGGAGGACAAAGAATGCTGAGTTGCATCCAAAGAACACCATACCTACTGTGAAGCATGGGGGTGGAAACATCATGCTTTGGGGCTGTTTATCTGCAAAGGGACCAGGACGACTGATCCGTGTAAAGGAAAGAATGAATGGGGCCATGTATCGTGAGATTTTGAGTGAAAACCTCCTTCCATCAGCAAGGGCATTGAAGATGAAACGTGGCTGGGTCTTTCAGCATGACAATGATCCCAAACACACCGCCCGGGCAACGAAGGAGTGGCTTCGTAAGAAGCATTTCAAGGTCCTGGAGTGGCCTAGCCAGTCTCCAGATCTCAACCCCATAGAAAATCTTTGGAGGGAGTTGAAAGTCCTTGTTGCCCAGCGACAGCCCCAAAACATCACTGCTCTAGAGGAGATCTGCATGGAGGAATGGGCCAAAATACCAGTAACAGTGTGTGAAAACCTTGTGAAGACTTACAGAAAACGTTTGACCTGTGTCATTGCCAACAAAGGGTATATAACAAAGTATTGAGAAACTTTTGTTATTGACCAAATACTTATTTTCCACCATAATTTGCAAATAAATTCATTAAAAATCCTACAATGTGATTTTCTGGAGAGAAAAAAATATCATTTTGTCTGTCATAGTTGACGTGTACCTATGATGAAAATTACAGGCCTCTCTCATCTTTTTAAGTGGGAGAACTTGCACAATTGGTGGCTGACTAAATACTTTTTTTCCCCACTGTAGATATTAAATGCAGTGGTACATCCAGCTTGTTATTTTTTGGAATATAGCGTCCTATCAAGAACCAAGTTTTGTACAAATAATAAATGTTTATTATCGCTTTAATCGTTTATTGTCTTTTCATTAGTTTACCAATTTGATATTTTTGCACTTAGAGTCCAAGGCATAATGGTCATATTTTCATTGACGCACCTCTCCACTAGAGAAAGGGTTAAACAAAATATGATTTCCCCCTTTCAACTGTCTTTACTACTGAAGAATGGTATACCTGTAGGTAATATTAATAAATAATAATTTATTAAACTTTAATAGCGCTATTCATTACATGATAGTAGGGTTGAATAGCAGGAACCCGGTTACCGAGATTTACCGGGATTTACCGCCCAAATCCACTCCCTTTTCGCCTGGATAAATAACTGCAAGAAACCGGTCGTGAAATGGAACTGTTAAATTATATGCGATGACAGACAGCCCATCTCAGTATGGAGCTCAGTTCACAATGCATGTAGCTCTATCATCTCATCATGGTCACTTATTTTATTGTGAAAGGTAGGCCTGCATTTGCTGCAGCATAGCCTATGCAACAGTACTATAAAGACCGAATGCGCGTCTAATTTACCCATCTCCATCTGGCTTTCGGGGGTCACCTTGTTTTTTAATTGTAAAGAGTATAATTTTTTTAATTGTATAGGGGATTTTTCAGTAGACTGATAAACATAGTAAATTTTTCAGACTATAAGTTAAACACATTTTTCAGTAGACTATAAATTAAACTATATGTTAAACATAGTTAAATATGTTTTGACTATAAAGTTAAAACATAGTTAATCACAAAGACAAGCAGTAAGACTAAGTGATACAGATTGTGGTACAGAATGAGGAGGCCTGGAACAGAGCCAGGAGACGGACCTGGGAAAGGGCCTGCTCATTCGTACTGTGTGGGAAATATACTCTATGCATGAGAACTGTTGTGGCGTGTGATTTGGACGGAGTCAGGTGCAGGAGGGTAAATCACAGATAAAGGTTTATTCCGTACATAAGACGATACAAAGTACAATGAGCTCCACCGAGCTCATATAACCTCCACAATAAACAATCACACACAAAGACAAGGGGGCAGAGGGAACACTTATACAGGTACTGATGAGGGGAATTGAAACCAGGTGTGTGTAATAATCAAGACAAAACAAATGGAATGATGAGATGAAGAGCGGCAGTGGCTAGAAGGCCGGTGACGACGAACGCCGAAGCCAACCCAAACAAGGAGAGGAGGCAGCTTCGGAGGAAGTCGTGATAGTTTCGCCCACTCGAGCCAGTGCCTCCACACTATCAGCGCTATGACTACAGCCAACAGCTCCCGATCACCAACGTCGTAGTTCTGCTCCGCCGGGTTGAGCTTCTTGGAGAAGGCACAGGGGCGGAGCTTGGGTGGCGTGCCCGAGCGTTGAGACAGGACTGCGCCTATCCCTACCTCGGACGCATCCACTACGAACGGTAGTGATGGATCGGATGGGCCAGTACCGGGGCTGAGGTGAACAGAACCCTCATGTTACTGAAGGCCCTGTCAGCCTCAGCAGACCAGCGGAGCCGGGACGGCCCACCCTTCAACAGAGATGTGATGTGCTCTCTATGGGTCCTTTGGGTAACCATTATGACTGGTGCTGTAACTTTCCTAACGAACCCCGACCCTAATGGTCGACTGTCAACTGCTTTGATGGGCAGTGGAGTGGATAGGGGAACCAATGGAATACCTAGACTTAGAGCTAATGACCAGTCCATAAAGTTCCCAGCTGCGCCTGAATCGACCAGCGCCTTACACTGGGAAACTACGGGATAGTCAGGGAAGGTGACGTGTATAGTGCAGTGTGCAGCAAAGGGCTCTGACCGAGTGTGGGTTTGTGCTACCTGGGGTGATGTGAGAGTGCCATGCCTGCCGCCTCCAGTCCCGGAGGAACCCTGACGACAGCGCACAGTATAATGTCCTCTTCTGCCACAAGAGTGACACTGAAGCTGTGCTCCTCCATTCTCCCGGATCGCTGCCCCACCCAACTCCATCGGAACGGACTCCGAGTTGGGGGGGAGGTGAAACGGGCAGTCCACTCCCAGGACGTCCTCTAGCAGCCAACAGGTTGTCCAACCGGATGGCCATGTCCACCAGCTGGTCGAAGGTTAATGTGGCATCCCGGCAGGCTAGCTCCCTTCGGACGTCCTCTCGCAGGCTGCATCGGAATCTGTCGATCAGGGCCCGCTCGTTCCACCCGGACCCAGCCGCTAGGGTCCGAAACTCCAGTGCGAAGTCCAGCGCGGTCCTCTTCCCTTGCCTCAGTTGGACCAGACGCTCGCCCGCCTCTCTTCCTTTGTGCGGGTGGTCGAAGACTGCACGGAAGAGGCGAGCGAACTCCGCGTAGGTGTCCAACACGGATCCTCATTCTCTCCAGACCGCGTTGGCCCACTCCAGGGCTTTCCCTTAGAGGCAGGGGACGAGGGCGGACACCTTCTCCCGCTCCGATGGAGCCGGGCTGATATTCACGAAGTAGAGGTCCAGCTGCAGGAAGAATCCCTGGCAGCGGGCAGCCGTCCCGTCAAACTCCCTCGGTCGGGATAGATTAATCCCTTGGGGTGCTGGAGTGTGGGTGGCCGGATCCGGTCGCTCAGCTGATCCCGTCGGGTCGGGTCCTCTCCTCTCCAGGCGTTGGACGACCTGGAGAACCCGATCGATCGCTTCTCCCAAGCTGGCTAGCATCCTAGAATGCTTGTGGACCCGTGCCACGACTCCAGGCATGGTCTCTTCTCCTGCTGACTCCATGGCGGGTGTGTGATTCTGTGGCGCGTGATTTGGACGTAAATCACAAAATAAAGGTTTATTCCGTAAATAAGTTGATACAAAGTACAAGGAGCTCCACCAAGCTCATATAACCTCCACAATAAACAATCACACACAAAGACAAGGGGGCAGAGGGAACACTTATTAAGGTATTGATGAGGGGAATTGAAACCAGGTGTGTGTAATAATCAAGACAAAACAAATGGAATGATGAGATGAGGAGCGGCAGTGGCTAGAAGGCCGGTGACGACAAACGCCGAAGCCTGCCTGAACAAGGAGAGGAGGCAGCTTCGGAGGAAGTCGTGACAACTGTATATGGTTGAGAATTGATTATGCTCAGAAAATGGACCTGCCATGTTTAAACCATGTTTAAGTATTGATTGATATGTTT